TAAAAAGAAATAAAAGCAAATATGACAAAATATTAACAATTATGGAACCTAGTGGAGGTTTTACAGATGCTCGTTGTCCTTGTTTTTTGTTTTTTATCTTCTCTTTGTTTTTATAACTAAAACTTTTCAGGAGTAAATTTTTTATAATTACAAGCTGGGAAATAAAGGGCCAAGAAAGGTGGTGGGTAATGACAGTGAAATAGAGATATTTTCAAAAATACAAACTATCAAACAAAAAAAGACCACCATCAAACAGGCAAATTACCAGGCCAGTGGACACTACTCAGGCCATCTCCAGCTCCAAGCAGATCAAATATCAAAAGTACAGATTATCCCCGGAATGTCATCCCATCGAGATGGGCCATTCATTGTCTAAAGAGGCCATTTTTATCAAGGATCTTAAGCCCTCACTCAGAGAGAGAGGAATTAGAGTTAAGAAAAAAGACTTAGTAAAGTTTTTTGTGTTCATTGATCGTGCTTGTCCTTGGTTTATTATTGGTGGACCTGAGATTCACCCACACAAATGGCAAAAAGTAGGTAGAGATTTAAACGATTTACTTCTAAATCAGGGCCCAGATGCCGTCCCTGTATCTGTTTTTTCATACTGGGGGCTAATCAGAGATATTGTTGAAGGGGCAGATTCAGACCCCAATAAAAGGCAGCTGCTCTCAGTAGCAGAATTCTGCCTCCGACCCGGTCCGCTTCGAGAACGTCTTTAAAGACGGCCGAAGGGCCAGCTTCTCCTAATAATTTCAAGAGACCAACATGTCCTTCCCCTTGCCCCTCAGTTTGTATTAATATGCCCCCTCAGGACCCCTCGGCTGAGCTCCAGACATCTAGAGACGAGCTACCCGGTCTGGTGGCCAGTAGTTACACCAGTAGTTACCCGGTCTGGTGGCCAGAAAAACCTTACCGCCCCTTCTTCGAGCCAGTCCCCGCCCCAAGATTCTGACAATGAGGATAAGGAAGGGAGGGAAAGAGAAAGCGAGAGCGATGACCTCCCGGAAGAGACAGATTCAGAGCCCACTGAATTTCACAGACTAAAGTTCAAAACCTTAAAAGAACTGAACTCTGCCGTTAGGACGTATGGGCCCAATGCACCCTTTACCTACTCCCTCCTAGAGGCAGCCTCAGGGGCTACCTGCTCCCCGGAGAATAGATCAAGCTAGTACAGGCGGTCCTTTCTCGGGGAAAGTTCCTCTCATAGAAAGCCGACTTTCTCGACCGCTGTCAGACTACGGCTGCTAATAATTTAAAAAACCCCAATTCTGCATCTTGGACCCTTGAAAAACTTAGCGGACCAGCCCCAATGCAGGTTTATAACCAGCCAAATGGCCTTAAACAGGGATTCCTCCCAGACAGGGTTAGGCAAAGAGGGGCAGGGGGACTTAGAGCACCCTTAACCACCCTCCTTAAGTCAGACATATCAGGGACTAGGGTTCAAAGAACATTTTTTGTAAGGGCCATTGACCCCCTGCACTTCAGGCAGATAAAATCACTTGAAAAAGTGACTCACCGTCTGGATCGATCAGTGCCCCTCCCATTTAACAAGCTAGCCGCAGCTACAATGTTAGTGCAGGAACAATTAGCTGCCGGACACATAGAGCCCTCTACTTCACCATGGAACACCCTCATTTTTGTTATTCAAAAAGAACTGGCAAATGGCGGCTGCTACAAGACTTACGGCTGTTAATCAAACAAGTTCCCATGGGCACTCCAGCCTGGTTTGCCTGTCGCCCGTAGCCATCCCCAAAGGCTACATAAGATAGTATTGACCTGAAAGACTGCTTTTCTCCATACGTTGCACCAGATGACTGTAAGCGCTTCGCCTTCAGTCTCCCGGTAGTAAACTGTATAGGCCCTCCCCACGTTTCCAATGGCGAGTATTGCCTCAAAGCATGGCCAACAGCCCTACCCTTGCCAAAAATATGTGCTCAGACAATGATTCTTTAGAATTCAACATCCTCAGCTATATATAATTCATTATATGAGACATTTCTTTTTCGGAGCCGACGAGGCAGCTTTGCTTCAGTTTACCATGCAGTTGTCCGGCCCTTACAGCTCGAGGCCTCCGCTTGTCCCCTGAAAAAATTCAGGTCTGTCCCCCTCCTCTGCAGAACTAATTCTCACCTTAGTCAACGCCTCTGTCAGGACCATCCGAGAGGCCAATAATTCAGAATATCAGGAGTGTTGGGTATGCTACTCCCCCGCCTCCCTTCTATGAAGGCGTCGCTACATTTGTGAGCCATTATTTTACTAATACACCGCAGACTCAGATGGGGTCTTGAGACCCATGGTGGCCTGACACTCAGCCAGGTCACAGCCTAGGCCTCTTTCCTTCTTGGCCAAAATGCTCCCTCCTGCACCCTTAGAGAAAATATGTAATCAGTCAATACTGCAACTCCACTTTCAGTATATTCAGGCATCTAACACCTCTTATTTTGCTGTTCTTCCGCCTTACCCCGTATGTAGTCACTGCAACGTTTCTTGAGCATAGAGAATATTGTGTGTTAGTCAGCTTTTCCCCAGACTCACTGTACATCCTGCTGACGAACTGCTTAAATTTGGGAGCGGCCACCACAATGCCCCGAGAAAAGAGAGAGCCCATCACGGCCATAACACTCGCAGTTTCTAGGCCTTGGTGCCACAGGGCTGGAACAGACATAGCCTCTCTAGTAACCTCCACCAGCAGTACCTGCAGCTCTCTGCGCATCCATAATAATCTCCGAGAGCTACAGCAGGGCCTAAAATATCTCAAAGAATCCTCGCTTCGCTTTCTGAGTAGTGTTCAAATAGAAGAGGCCTAGACTTATGTTCCTCCAAGAGGGAGGCTTGGCGCAGCACTCAAGAAGAGATGTTGCTTTACAAGACAAAACAGGTCTGGTAAAAGATAGCATTGAGAGAGTTAGACAGAGCCTAGAAGATAGAAAAAAACGGAGAGAACAAAGTGAGGCATGTATCAAAATTGGTTTCCACATCCCCCTGGCTATCCACATTGCTTCTCAGTGTCTTAGGCCGTTTGTAGGTTTTGTTGCTCTCACTTTTGGCCTTGGGCATTCAAAAAACTAACCCAACTTTGTCAAGTCACAGTAGACGCAGCCACACAAAAATCGGTCTCCGTTTTTTTTTTTTTTTGTTTTTTTTTGAGACAGAGTCTCGCTTTTTGTCCAGGCTAGAGTGAGTGCCGTGCGTCAGCCTAGCTCACAGCAACCTCAAACTCCTGGCTCAAGCGATCCTTGTTGCCTCAGCCTCCCGAGTAGCTGGGACTACAGGCATGGGTCTCCGTGTTTTACCAACGGCTAGAACAAAGAGGCTCCAGAGAAGACCTCCATACAGAGTCTCCCCATTCAGCCACAGAGGGTCTAAATTTTTCTAACCTTGCCTCAGACATGGAACGCAGTTGATTCCAAAGGCTGTGGAGACGCCATGACGGATTATCGGATCTCGTACCAGGTGCACACCCCGTCAGCAGTGATAACCATGACGGAATATTGTAGTCCATGCCCGGGACACACCTCATAATCAGAAGTGCCGGAGCTGGATCCACCTACATAGCCTAAGACAGAGGCCTCACCATCATTTCAATCGCCCGATCTTATATTTGGGGTGCTGGTCGCGGAAGCCCATCGCATAGCCTAAGACAGTCTCCACCCAACCTGTATAATCTCCCTTCATATTAATAAAGATAGGGGAGATGTTGGAGACTAAGACCCTCCACATCCCAACGACTTGTCCTACGCAGGGGCCTCGCCTGGAAAATAGCCTAAGACGAAAATAGCACCCAGCCCTCCAGCTATAGTTCTAGCGACAAGGAAGTTTGCCACTGAACAGCTCCAAAAGGATCCCAGATTGGACTCTTATCTCGACGCTCAGCCGCTTTCGGCGTGCCTCGCGATACAGCTCCCTCTACGGGGATCTGTCTACACTCCGCGACAAAAAATCACCCAGGACCAAGAGGGCTTAGTGAATTTGTTAGGTTAGCTTTTAGAAATCTGCTGAGGAGGACCCCATCGGACAGACGAGATTGGCGATAATAAACTCATTAAACAATTGGCCTATACAAATGCCAACAGCGCTGCAGGGCCACCCTCAGGCCGGCAAACTAAAAACAAGACCTAGATAACATGATTACCTAGGATTGTTAATGGAGGCTGCGACACCTGTCGCCATTAAGGGTCCCAGCGCCATGTGCAAGCTTGCCGGTCGGGGCGCCATCAAGGCCAGACGCGGCACAGAGGGCTGTTTAAGTGCCGTCAGCCAGGGCACTTTGCCGGAGCAATGCCCCTTAGCAGCCTCCTCTGCGCTCCTAACCTCAGTGGACACGGGCAGCCAACTCGCCCCCGCCTCCCTCTTGTCTCGTTTGCCAAGATGGCAATACCATTGGCTAAGAGGCCGATTCTGAAGACCGATGCCTTGGAAATCCTGTGTGCCCCCTTCGGGAAAGCCTGAGGGCCAGCCCTGGGGGGTCCCCCCGTCCTATTCAATTTCCAGTCGGCCTCGGGAACAGCCAACAACGAGCGATCCCCAGCACCTAGACTCCTCCGAGCAAACCACAGGGAGCACAGAGTGCGGACTT